GTTTCTTAAGATGTACTCAGGGTTTATTCATTTAGACCAACTGATCTATAGTCCCTTTAAAGATGCTAAAGTGAGGGAATCCTGCTTCTTCTGGCAATTTTGACTCCATGTTTGCACATGCCAAAAATAATTTCTTATTTTCGAGAGACATAAAAGAAATGGCCTTTAGATCTAAAATGACCCATCACCCTTCCAATCTCTTTCTACACTGGGAAAAAGAACAGGCACAAAACTGCAACAACACACAAAAAACCAAAATCCTCAAATTAACCAAAGATTTTTAATTTGGAAAGGACTCTGTATTTCATTTACCCCAATATCATAATTACAAATGAGGAAACTAGGTCTCAAGAAATTCAGATATTTCTTCAGTATCACACATCCAGATCAACAGTATTAAATTTCAAAACCCTTAAGTTCCAGGCTCTTTTCAATAGGCTAAATAGTTTACCTTTAATAGAAATAAGGAGAAAAGCATGGTTAAAAAAAGAAAGAAACAGCACTCAAATGTACAGAGGAAAAGAATTCATTGAAAAGCTGTACACATTACAGAAAAAAAATTTCCTGTCAGTCCATTGGTCCATAAAAAAATATCATGCTTTCACCAACATCTAAAAATATTTGTAGAGTTTAAAGTTTTAATTAAAAAATCTGACTTCTGCAATTTCCAGGTCCTTTACCCTTAGGGCCTCCAATCATGCTGTACAGCTGGCAATGAGAATTGCTCTGAGGTTCTTCTCCAAGATATTTCACTATGTTTGGGTGACACTGGTCATTAAACAGGTGTTCTTAACAGTTGTGGAAGTAAAACAATAAATCAGGGCTTTGCCGAAAGGTGCATGTTCACACATGTTCTCTCCCATCATGACTTAGGCAGTGTAGCAGATGCACACAAACTGACATAGGTTACCCTGCCCCAGGTCTGTTATTGTTGCCAGAACCCCTGCCTTGTCCTACCCTTTCCCACATCACTGGTGATCCACTCCCATCCTGACAGATCTGACCTAATCTTACAGATACCCTAGATTGGCACATGTGAGCACACATCCAGGTAGACAGGCACAAAATAGGTCTAAGTACTAAGCTTGAACTTTAAACCTACTGGGTTCCAACTCTAAACAGGGATATATGTAAAATTGTAATTGTAAATAGGGAAATATGTATGAAATTACTCAGCTATGTAATATGTACACATATATGTGGTGTCAATCTATCATCTATCTCTTCATAGTGATATATAATCACTCATATAAGGACCACCTATTTTTAAAAAGTATTTCATCTGCTGCAGAAGATGGTCTGTGAAAACTGGTTTCCAGGTGGAGACTACTATCCACCCCAACACACACGTGCATGTGCACACACATACACACCACTGCTCTGTGCTTCCCAAGCACCCCTTAGAGGCACAGAGACAGTGCATGAGTTTTGGAGCCAGCTACATATGGGCTTCAGTATTAGTTCTGCTATTTACTATCTGTGCGATCTTCAGAAAATTACTTAAGCTCTCTGGATAATAATTTTCTTATTTCCAAAATGTGGATGTTAATACTGGTCTAGGAGGCATAAGGATTCAAGGCAAATGTACGCTGGTGGGTGCTGCAGGGTGGTGCTCAGTAAATAACAGCTGTTATGATGCAGTTGAGGATGAAGGGAAGAGGGAGGTAGGTAGAGGGAAGAAGATGGTGGCCTCTACTTCCTGAATGCCTTCTGAAACCCAGAATTTCTCAGCAAGGCATGACAGAACTTGACTGCTAGCCTTTAGCTGGGGAAAATTAAACTTGAGGCAGGAGAAAGAGAACTAGTGTGGCAGGGCTGGGTCAGGGAGGGTCCATGAATGGCTAGCACTTAATATGTGATTTTCTTGTCTTGTATATACATACACACACACATATATATATACACACATGCATACACAGAACTCATGTCCTTCTGTTGCAGGGAAAAGGGCATTCATATTAGTGAACTCAGCATATTTTGAGAAGTCACTGCTTTTGTTTTTGCTTAGAAGAACCATATCTCACAAAGCAGGGTGAACACATTCCTGTGTCCCACAGTGGCTAACCATAGAATTTCCAGTTACAGTAGCAGGCCCTGGCTGTTTGCTCCCTCTGACAATTCTTGTGACTGTGAGATCCCCAGAGACTGTGGACCAAATTTCCAGCTCCTTTCTGGAGTCATGGAGGCAGAGTCTAGAGCCCAGTGGTGGGCCGGGCTGCTGCTCTGACTGGAGCTGTCCAGGAAGGAGGAAGTCCAGGTATACCTGAGTGACAGAGCCTTCAAGGCCTGCCTAAGATGCCATGCTGGGTGCCAACACAGGCTCCCTGCGAACCACCTGACTAAACAAGTCCGCTGGGAATCCTGAAGGCGAATGACTAATGCTGAAGGCGGCCTGTACATCACCGTGGTGATGACTCCACAGGCATCAATTAAGCATGGAAAAGACCTGTTCTGAGGCCTGACCATCTGTCCCAAAGAGCTGTAGTCAATGGCTGAGAAAACACAAGTGATGGTAACTATAAAGAGATTCGGCATCCGTCTCCTTGCTCCAAAGCAACAAGAGCCCACAGGGACAATGAACCTGGACAAGCCACCAGAGAAGAGGTGGTAAGGAAAAGGCTGCATGTGTAGTCAGCACTGTGCTTCCTCATGCATCGAAAGCAAAGATCTGGAGTTGCATGAGCTCATCTTTTTAGCCACCAAAAAGGCAGACTGCTCCCAGGGATGCTTGGGAGTTTGTCCGGCTGTCTAAGAGTGAATATCAATTGCCATGTCTCCAGGTGAGACAAGGGCCTGGCAGCAGTCCATCCCCTGCTCCGAGGGCGCTTTCCAAGTACCAGCACCTAGGACTTTGCCAGTACATTAGGCCAGGATCACTGGAGTCCAAATGTCCTTCCCTAGAAATCACACTTCAACCAGCTTTGAAGTGGAAGGAGGAGGACATCTTTAACAGATTTAATGAGAATGATGTCAAGGTATAAACCCCCCCAGGAGATAGTGGCTGGATCAGAAGCGCTTTTCAAGGCTTGCGTTCTAGATCAGTCAGGCAGACACCTGTGTATATATAGACAAGGCTTCAAATACCACACCTCATCACACCTAATGACTGCCTGTGACCTATGACGAGTGCTTGCATTCTCTATTTCTGGCTTTTTCAACAATCAAATAATCTGTCTTTAGACTCTGTCCTGATTCTGAGCTATTCTCTCATGCTAATATATTTTTTTGATTCTTTCTTCACTAGGCAAGGCAGATAAATGAGAGAGGAAATACTTTTCACTTTTAATTTGATCCAGACCTAAAATTATTAATGACTGCTCATTACCCTTGATCTCTCCTTTTTTCTTTTAGGTGATTCAAGTAAATGCACAGCTCACATATCCTGGTCCCAACATTAAGAATGCAATGTTATTAGAATGAGGCTATCAAGTAAAAACAAATCAAAAAAACCCACAAACAAACAAAAAATGGTGCTTCTGTTCTCCTGAGACCCTTTTGCCAATGATGCAGTGTAGTTAAATCTGTTTACAAGCAGCTGCTTCAGTGTGGAGTTTTGGGTCGGAAATAAAAAGGTTTAGTTAAGGTCACTGACAATTATTTTCCCAGCACAATAGAAGAGCAACCCAGCCCATTAATGACACTAAAATGGCAGAAACAAACACAGTGGGAACAAGTAGGAATAGAAGAATACCTGGGATTGCCAGATTGGAAAGGGGGACGTTGTGGAGGTGAGGGGGGAGCGAGGCCATCCAGTCGGCATTGCAGACCTCCGATGATGTCTTTGTCCCGCTTGGGTTGGGGGAGCAGATGGTCCCCATCCTGAGTTTCCTCCTTACCTTCCTAACTGCTAACATGCCTCTCTGTCAGTCAAACCGCCCTGGCTCAGCCCAGTGCCACTCACTCAGTGATCATCATTACCCGGGCTCTCTAGACATTTCAGGGCCACCCCTGTCACTCCAGTCTTGCCAAAAAGCTTCTCTGCCTAGGAGACGGGCAAATAGGTGGTTTCCCAACCTCTCCGGCCCTGCCGTTGTTCCACCCCCTTAATCTGCTCAGACCCGGCTGTCTTAAACTTCTTACTTTCCCCTCTGGAGCCGGGGAAGGTAGGCCCTAGAGATAAATCTTACAGAAACTGAAACGTCCGACGAGCAGCCACGCCCGGAGCCACTCACACGACAGGTGCCCACACCGCACACAGACAAGCCGGTGTGCCTGTACACGCGCGAGCGCCGGGACGCACCATCATCAGCCTGATTTAGGCTTCTATGTATGTCACTGGGCTGGCACAGTGGCTGGGTCGGCCGCTCTCCCCCTCCCGGCTTCTCTGCACGAACTCCCCCTGCCCTGTGGCTTCCTGAAGGCGCTCACAAGTGTAACCGGCGGCGCTCGGACTCTCTGCAGCCCCGCCCCGCACTGCCGGGCAGATTTGCAGGGAGAGGCGGTCCGTGATTGGGCGCCGGCAGGGCGCGCTCCGATTGGCCGGCTGCCCCCTCGGAGCCGCTCCCACCCGCGGCGGCCCCCGGCTCCGCCCTCTGTTACTCCGGCCGTACAGCCCGCGGACCCCGCAGCTGCAGGCGCTGCAGGCACTGCAGGCAGGCAAATTTGCCGACTTGGACCAGTGCCCTTTAGCCAGGTCATCTTTCTTCTGGCTTTGCATGCAGCCAGCACTCAGACCTTAGACACAACCACAAGCGTTTCTTTCCTTCCTTCTTTCCACATCAACACATGCCCGCGCTCGCACACACACACGCACGTAATGACAGTTACACACAAAGTATTGCATTTTCAGTAAACTACAGAGGCAGCAAAAATACCAGGGGTAAAGAGGCCTAGAAAGGTGCAATATCTCATATTTGTCATCAAGGGTGGTTTGTGTTTCAAACATTACATAATTAAAATTCACCTACATACCGCTTATTCCCCTTTTACAGAGGGGGAAATAATGATACTTTACATTTGTATCGCCGTGTTGTTTGGAACCTTCTTCTAATTTTTTGTCCCCTTTGCACTTCTCAGTACCCCCATCAGGCAGGGAGGCTTGCTGGCACAATCCTCTCATCAAAGAGGGAACGGAAGGCCAAAGGCATTCATGGAGCAGTTCACGAGCTCACACTATTTGGAAATTCCATTTGTGAATGAGACCTTTAAGTTCCGACGTTTGTGTGCACACGCGCCCGTTCCCCTGCTTTCTGCAATGTTCTCTACGCCTACAATGATACCTTTCCGTGATGGTAAACTGTAAGGTCTCTAACGATATGAGAACTTGGGATATAGATAATCACAGGAACATCCTGGCAAATGAGCAAATAAAAACACCCTGCCTTGATGGTGGGGCCCTGGAGGGCTTCAGGCCAGGCAACTCATCAGTGACTCAGGCGAGGCTTATCGAAAAGAAACAGCAGCCTTTGCGAAGAGTGACTGATGTACAGAGCGCAGTAGGTCAGCTGACATTTAATCACCCAATGTTCCACCTCCTCTCCAAGGTAGCTCCAGAGCAGCGCTGACCCATACCAGCCACCTTTCAGTAAGTGTTCCTCTTGCTGCATGTGGCCACTTTTTGACATCTTATTAAAATGTCCTCTTCCAGGCTATTCTTAACATTCATTTAAGCCTGCTTTTCAGCCTTTTGAAGTGCATTATATTACTAAAAGTGTTTTTTTTCCCTTCTAGAGGAGTATCCCTTGGTTAATAAGAAGAAAGTATACACTATCATGCATCTTCTGATGTCTAAAGTGCACTTCACCATAGTGCTCTTTTTTCAAGTGTACTGCAGGATTGGGAGTATATTAACTAGCTGTTTGAGTCAGTGAAATTGTTTTTCCCCTAGAAAAAGCACTCTGTGAAGGAAATCCCAAGATTTACTTTTGAAATGTCACCTCTTTGGGCTTCCTTTGAGGTGACAGATGGTTTATAAAATTCCCAAACACAAAACTTTATGGAAGCTGCCTAAGGCAGGTAAAATGTGTTCTTTAAGCTCTATTGTACAATGTTGATTTCAATGTCATTTTTGCCCTTTATTTCAGCATTTAGTGGAATGAGTGGCATATTAAAAAGCATTATACTTTAGACTTAGGGATATCACTGTGTGAGAACCAGAAAACAAGAGAAGTCTCTGCAGAAGATGTTTTGTATCTTTATAAAACTGGTAGCTTTTTCTATCACAACTATGTGATTTGCTGAAGAAAAAAAACAGCTCAAAAGAAGGTGACACACGGTCTATATAACCTTGAATCAGTCTTGGAAGAAATCTTGCAAATGAAAACACAGCACCTAGTACAGTACTGGGCATATAGCAGGCTACAAAACTCTCCCCAGGATCTCATAGCTGGCTAGCAGCAGAGCCGTGACTCCAAGCCTCCTTATAGTTGTGCTGGTGTCTTCCCATTACATGTTACCTACTATTATTGTAAACGTGGTAAAGACTGTTTATGACCAAAGTGTATTAAAGAGTTGGGCCTTTTCCCCCTATAAAGAAAAAGGGATATTGAAGGTTTTTGAGAAGGGGAGTAAAACAATTCACATTGTATTTTAGGAATATAACTGGAATAACAAAGAATGGTTGGGGAAACACAGTCTCTCAGGTAAATTTTTGAAATCAATTATTTAAGCAACAGAAAAGTGAAGGAGCATGTGGAAGCTCCTGCACGCAGACTAAATGCATACCCTTTCCTAACTGTGGTCCTTGCTTCCCCATCCCCACTTCTCATCTCCAATGGCCTATAATTCCAGGGCCCAAGTAGACAGCCTGACTACCTCTGAAATTATTTTGCATCACTTGAAATTCTAATTAAATTTTTCATTCATTTTTGTAACATACAACAAAACCTGCTTCTAAGAATGCATCTACAAATTTTGTTTCCTTTTCTGGAATTTTTTTCTCCATTACTTGATCAAGGACCGTAATGAGTTCCTGAAGAGGTGACTGCAAGCTTTGCCCACTCTTGGAGGCTTTATTTTGGAAGTTTCCAGGATGATTCCTTCTCTTTGGGATCATGTCATAAATGAATAGTGAGGGTCCCAGAGCAAGCACCTAAGCAGCTTGCCATTTGGGCATGTCTGGTTGGCAAGGAAAGCTGGCTTGGGTTTTCTTTGATTGAAGACACCCTAAGAGCCTCAGAATAAATATATTGACTCAATGATTCTGTGGCTGGGAATGTCTCAAGCCCCCACATCTGAGATTTGTGCTGCCTCCCTTCCAGGTCTCTATACTAGGTGGGAATAGATCAGACCTCAAAGAGAATTAGACCCAGGCACATGTTGGGTCAAGGGACATTGCCTAGAGGTAAGTGAGGTGGTAGGTGCTTTGAATTCCAAAGTGATGTCTCAGTCAAGACTTTTTTACCTGGCTGGAGGATGTGGGAAGGGTGAAGGACTGTAATGAGGAGCCAGGAAAATGAAAGGTGGAGGAGAATATAAGGCCGATTTGTTTCATGCCTCAGATCAGCAGAGTTTATCCCAATCGTTCCCAACCTCCTTTCCCCAATTTAGGCCAAAACACTATGTGACAAGCATCAGAACAGAAAAAAGAAATGTCCCCAACATGGGTGGTGCTGGGGATATGAAGACAGCAGCAGCAATTTCCTGCAGGACAGTGACATCACTGCAGCAGCTTAGACATTCAGGAACCTCCAAGGGAAGGGAAGTAACCATGCATACCGTCCTGTGAACACATGATACACTCAGACATTCCTGACATAGAAGGCAGAATCAGGAAAAAGGGATCCAGGTATTTGTTGATTAGGGCTAGAGTCAGAGACCATGTTTTTGTGACCCAGTCCCTAATTATGCCCAGGTGAGTGTCCTTGAGAAGTGAGGTGAGAGAGCAGCAGCTTAAATATGAACTCATGCTGTGTGGTGCCTCCCCACCCTTATGGCCTATGGCTGTGATTCTGTAATGAGATGAGAGTGAATGGCAGCTGTAGCCCATGTTAGATAGTTTCTCCCAGGTTTAAAAGTTTGGTGTCCAGGGAGATCTTGAGAGCCTCTGTGCCCTTCATATTTATCAGACATCAGGTTTTTCTGGTATCCTTTAAGCAAAATTTCCTTTAATAACAGTGTTACCATAATGCTTTTGAGAGGAGCTTATAATAAGTGACGATTGCAAAATCAGTTTAATATCCATTTCACCTTCTACCACACCACTTTCCTGTAGTCTTCCACTCTTCATTCCTACCCCACCATTACCTCCATAAAAGGTAACTGAGAGAAATGAAGGCCTCAGAGCCTTTCTTTTCCAGCTAGTTAGCTACAAAGTGCCTGATTTAATATGTTTTGGAGCCACCTTCTGGTACTAAAGGCACACTTCACAAACACAATAAATTTCCATTTCAATTATCCCAAAAGGATGCAAACCTCACCAGCCCCAGGAGGAGCACCCCAGGGGCACAGGCAGAAAGAGATTCCTGCGTCACACTCAAACCTGACAGAATTAGATCCCTGGGGCAGCCTTTTAAATGAGCTCCCAGAGGCATTTCAAAATCTCAAGAGCTTTATTTAGATTAAGATTTAGACTTAGATTTAGATTAAGATCAAACAATTTCTTTTTTTAAAAGAAGTTAGAACAGGTAGAATGCAAAGGGAGGATTCTTATCCATGTTGTGTATAAATTCATGCAATTAGAGAAAAATAATCTGGCAGAAATAGTTGATTTTGGCTGAACTGACAGGAAGACCAATTGCTCTTCCTACTTACCCCACCCCAAGTTTTCTGGAAATACAACATTATAAGACTGACATTAGCAATTAGGAGAACTTGTGTGGACTAGGGTGTGTATTAGTGATCACTTGATCTTCAGTCACAATTAGAATGGTCTCTGTATATTTGCTATTGATTAAGCAAATTTAATCTTAAAAAGGAATGCATTCTTTTTTAATGACCTGATTTTGCATTTTGCATTGCTACATCAGTTGGAAATAGCAGGATGATACACATCATCTATGGAGTAAATGTCAGGGTAATTGAGAGCAGATTATCAATCTCTCCCAACTTTATTATTAAAATTGTAACTTTGAGAAAACAACTTGAACTAACAAAAATAATTCTTTTTTTAAACAAAGTAAATAAATGCATTTCAATGTAAATAAAAATAATGAATCATACTCTCTCTCTCTGAATATTAGGGGATAGTCAAAAGCCCTTAGTATGTTTCTTGGTCATTTGATGGTTTGTTTCAAAGGATTCCAATCTTCTTAATTAAGTCTCTGCAGTTATGTGTCTTGATCCACCTTTCCTAAACTGCAGAAACTGGTCATGGAGGAAGTCATAGTCTTAAAAATCTATCTATTGGTGCCCACCGGTTCCACTTCCTTTTAGTAGAATATGTAAAAGAGAGTGTAAAGTTTATCTCACACATCTTTCTGCTTCAGCATAAAGTGTAAAGAATGTTCTAGAAGTCAGAGTT